TTTTTAAATAATTATTTAGATTCTTCTTATTCTCAATTTTTTTAAACTTATCTAATAGGAATCAGTCATTAACTTACTCGTTAATTGTGCCGCATTTGTTATTGTTACTTGTTTTATTGTGGGTAATGCAGTGTCCAACAATGTAATATATGAAATAATTTCATATATTATCTTCATTATTTAGCAATTTTAATGGTTTTAGGTCGTGAGAAGGGTTTTAATAAGAACAATTTTCCTTATGCAACATATTCATCAATGCAATTTATTCTTAATTACTGTTTTGATTATAATATATTTTAAAGTCGAATCAACTTCTGCAATAGCTTTAGTTGGGATAGGAGTACAGTATTGTTTTCTGATTGGATCTCGAAGAATATTAATCTAATGTAGATCAAAAAATGATCCTGTTAAAACCGATAATCTATCATATATCCGGTAAAAATTCGATACACCATGTTCATTCCGTAGTCCAAACCCGATAATCTGCTCAGAAATGCAGTGTTATGTGCAGTATTTGGAGTTATAAATATTCCATTTCACTTTATTTATTCTTCGAGATTTGATTTTTTTGCTTAACTCATCAAAAGAAGTATGCCTCAAAAAAATACGGTTTTAGTAATTTGTGTTTAAGTACAACTGACTCTTGATATAAGAAAGTAACTGATCCCAGCCAAAAATCTTTTTCATATCGAGATTTTCTTATAACAAAGACTTTTTATTATAAAATGCTCAATTGGCTTATAGAATCTTTCTTATATCAAGAGTTTCTTATACCGAAGTTTCTTATATCGAGAACTACTTGTACTAAGTAAAAATGTTGTACCCAAAAGAATCACAATCTTTATCTAAATCTAATTTTAATTATAAAGTCTAATTTTTCACTTTTACTAAAACGCATCTATGGTGGTTTTGCACCCATAGTTGACAGTAGAATTAATTTTACAAATTGATACGACCGCTTTGTGCCGTAATGCCGTAATACTATAATATTGTTATGTGGAAATACAATAATGCCGTTTGTCGAAATGCAGTATTGTATTGTGTGTTCTTTCCTCAAACCAGCTGGTATTATATATTTTAAAATAATTTTTTTAGAAATAAACCGTATAATCAATATCAGGAAAATGATACTGTCAGCAAAATCAGCAAGAATTATAAAAAAACGATTATATGGATATTTGCTAAGAATCAGGATACTAATCCATGTGGATAATAACTTAAAACGCTGTTTTTAAATTGGTCAATTCTTACGTGATAACTTGGTCAACCAAGTTATTCTTGTTATTAGAAGTGACTCGGTTTGTGATTTGAAAACAGGTGTGCAATAGCAAATCTAGAGTAACGTTCGTTTCGTCAAATTGCTAATTTTTTGAAAATCTGCAAAGAAACCACCTTTAGTGCTCTAACAAAAAGGTCTTGATGGGCAATTTTACTAAACCAAAATTAATGCCGCAAGTGCCAAAAAGTGCCAAAAGCCCATATGAAACACTAACAGGATAAGCACCAATCCTAACATAAACGAATTTTAAAG